AATATATTTATTAACATGACAGTTACCTGTATATAAGGTACTGCCAACTATCTCATGTAAGTGAAACATTTCTCTACTTGATTATATTTATTAACATGACAGTTGCTTGTATATAAGGTACTGCCAACTATCTCATGCAAGTGAAACATTTCTATACTTTAATATATTTATTAACATGACAGTTACTTGTATATAAGGTACTGCCAACTATCTCATGCAAGTGAAACATTTCTCTACTTGATTATATTTATTAACATGACAATTACCTGTATACAAGGTTGCCTCAGGTTCACACACAGACCATCAGCATCACTGATATAGTGTTCCACAAGTTCCTGCAGGGTACGGAATGTGGTTCTGCGAGCAATAAAAAAGCCACCTTCATCCAACTGCCTGATACGGTAGTGTTTCACAGTGTCTCCATCCCTCACTAATAATAAAAATGCAATGTCAAAAAAAGTATTAGAAAATTCTTTAAACCAAATGAGATGGCTACATCTCAATTGTTCTTCAAGCAAAACCAATAAATGTATGAAAAATATAAATTTCATCTACCTATATCTAGTTCAATGTACTTTAATTCTGTTTAAATGTTACTATATAAAAAAATAATTCCCCATCCTAGAAAAAAAACAAAACCAGTATCAGCAGTAGTTTCACTTGAGCCAACCTGATTTCAACACAATAATACTTTCAAAGATATGATATGTACTGTGAGGTGGGGGAGAGGCAAATTGCATTTCAGTTTACACTAAGGGGGGTTGTGGGATGGAAAGTGAACCTCTTATACAGGTCAGAGGGCTGTTAGGTATTGTCATACTAATATTTTCTGAGTAGAAAAATTATATGATCATTCTAATTTAGCTTAAAAATAAACAAATCATATGCACTAGTATTGGAGATGTATAAAGAGTGAAGGGAACAAGTATAATTAATTATACTTGTCCCCTTCACCCCCTTAAAATATTCATTCACAACCTAACAACTGGCTTATATATATATAGTATTCTGACCACTACCATGTTTGCTGACTCCCAGCTGGCTTGATGAGCTCTGTATTGAGCGAAACTTGTTGTCGGCAGTGGATATGGCAGATATAGTGTGGTGGAAAAGGCCCATCTATGACAAGTATAATTCAGTTAGGCCTATCTATAATTCATTTAGATATACCTGAAAGAGAAAAATCATTCCTGCGGCTTTCACTATCTCTAATGAGGAATGCACCGTGTTGATTTTCAGGAAGAAGTAGTTTCTTTTCTGCTTCTATCCTCTTTATCTTTCCAAAATACCATCTGCAAATAAACACAGACTTATTATTCAACAGATAACATATAAAAATGGTACAATAAAAGATATTCAACATTAAAAAACGTAACATCTACAAGTTGTACAAAAAGATAATATGGACAAAGGTTTGAATAACAAAACTTTTCTTTACTTATTTACTGCCCCAACACTGTCCAGTGGCCAGCTCCTTTTGGTGGTTTTATTCTGGCCAGTTAGTGAAAATAGTCCATCTCTACAAAGACGTTCTTATTCTCATGGTTCCTCTATGGTAGAGAACCTAGCATACTGACAGCAATTCACTCTTAAGTGGTTCTCTAACCCATGTTCTTTCATGGTCATTTTCACTTGTAGCATAATTCACACAATTTATACCAAACTTCTGGCATCTGCAGGGGTGTACAGAGCCAGAGTGGGCTCTGGGGCAAACAACCTCACCGGGTCCCCTTTGTATTTACTATTTTCATTTTACTGGTATAAATAGAATTAAGTGGGATTGGAAGAAAAGAAGAACTCGGGCCCCGGTGTAGTGCCTCCCAACCCCCTTCTATTATTGGAACTGGGCACCTGGCACCCAAACTAGTAGAAGTATTCTCTTATCCTCTCCAGTGTCTTCTTAACACCTAAGAATCCAGCTATTTCAAGAGTGTGTAGCTGACAAAGTGCCTGCAATTTGGAAAGTGTCAACTGTACTTCTGATTTATGTCTGTTGGTATCTTCCCATTTTTGACATATGGTAAACCCTTTTTATAAGCACAACAAATCCCACTGTGCCCAATACATCTTTGTATGGAACAACTGTTAGCCACAGTGGTCATTTGGCACCATTCCTGATCCATTAATTAAATAGCTTAATACTCTCTTTTGTTTTTTGCCTAAACATCTTTCTTTCATTTGAGTGTAGGATCATGTTAGTTTATCACCATCTGTGGACATTCTATCTTGGATTCTGCTGTGCTACACTTTAAGTTGGTTTTCTTTATTATCTTGTACATCCCTCTTTTCACAGTGCTTACATTATTCAGTAATATTTCATTCAGGTTGATGCACAGTGTTGAAGTTGTATTGCTAAAGTTTCTGTAGCCATTACTTTGCTACCCAGTTTTCTGAACTGCAGAAATACAAAGCCACTTCAGTGCAGCAATATATATAACTGGAGTGTAAACTGTTAGCCATAGAAATGACTCTCAGTAGTTCTTTCTGTACGATACCTCCTTTCTGAAACATTCATTGTCTTGCTATATTGGGCAACCTCATGTTGTACTTCTGATGACACTGCTCCCACTGCAAATTCACAGGCATCTGTTTTGTGTGTGTTTTCTTATAGCAAGGCCACATCAGGCTATCTGCTGTGTCCACCTTGGGGAATTGAACCCCTGATTTTATCATTGTGAACCTGGAAACTTACCACTGTCCCATTGGGGGACGTATCTGTTTTGAGAAAATATTTAAGAGTTGGGTATGCTAATACAAGGAATAATAGTTCGTTTTTTCTTCACTGTGTTAAATACTTCTTCACAATCAACAGTCTAGTGAAACATGTTTGGTTTCCTATTTCACTAATTAAACTTCATCAGGAACAATCGATAACCCACAAGTTTGCTTATCTAGTTAAAATTAAGTTAGGACACCATCAGTTAAACATTGACATTTGTCTAAAAGGTTCAGATCATGTTAAAATAATATCAGACATACTTGAATTTAAATTGTCGAAACAAACCATACCAACAATAGTAAATAAACAGTATATGTAAATCATAGGTGTTACTAGAGGATATACTACATATATAAAATATATATTCATACTTGTATCTGTAAATATGTTTACAAATACTTGTATTCTACTATACATATTACAATGCCAAGCAAATATATATCAATCATTGTGAATGTGTGTGTGTGTATAAAGACTCCAACAAGCCCCCCAGTGGCACAGCAGCATATCTGTGGATTTATATAGCTAGAAACCGTGTTTCGATGCTCATGATGGGCAGAGCACAGATAGCTCTATGTGCTTGATAACAAACGGCAACAGCGATTCCATCAAAATTCAAATATATGAAAATACTATGAATACAGTCAACATTTCTACATTACAGACCAACCTTTATGTTTGTTCATTTTAGGTTTATTTTTCTGGATTCTTTAACCTTTCGATAAAGAAAACTATTACTTTTAGATAAGATCTTGACATCCAATAAGATTTCTTGTGGTATTCCGTATTCTTTACTATAATGCTCAGCAATAGGATTGTTAGGACCTGATGTTATGTAACGTGTTGAGATATTCTGTCATGTGTGGGCAGGCATGCTTTTCCTATACATGTAAGAGAGCCATAATTTAACTTCATAAACAACATTTGTACAATTGCAGCAACACTGTAGTCCATATTTAGTGGCTATATACTTATTTTTAAACATTGTGTTTGTTTTTTTATATGCTGAACTTATGAGAGGCTTAGTCTTTGCACTATTTTAATAGATAAGTCTAATGTTCTAATTAGTCTCTCTGTTTTGTGCTGATATTATCACTTATATGCAGTATCACTCAAGTAATCTGAGCTTTAAATCTGCTTGCCTTATTTTCACAGTTCAAGGGAATTTGTATATTTTGTTTTTGCCTCAAAATCCATTATTATGTTTTGTATGTATTTCTGTTGGTAAGAAATATTTCTTAAAAGCCATCAAGTTTTCCATAGCCCGCATCCATACTTCATACTTGTTCTTTATTACAAACTTTATCAATCCTGTGGAGGTAACCAATAACTACAACCTCTTTTGTGCAGGGTAATGCAAACAAAGGACTTCAGTAGATGACTTGCTAAAAATACCAGTAACGATTTCCCCATCCTTAACATGAATAATGGTATCTAAACATGGTATAGCTTAAATAAGTATAAGTTTTATGAATGGATAGACTGTATTCAAGAAATCATGAAAATTAATAAGTAACTCTACAGTAGTGTTCCACACTCCAAATATATCATCTATGGATCTATACCAGATTGATGGGTTTAATATATCTTCTCCTATTTACCAAGAATCAATTGCTTTTAGTTCAAGTATTTACATAAATATTACAGCCAGGTCTACTACTACTTTATTCACTATAGCTATTCCTTTAATTTATTCATAAAATTCCCTGTTAAATCTTGCATGACAATTACCTAATACAAACCCCAGAGCCTTTTCTAACTAATCAGTTGAAATATTCAAAATTCTCTTAGCATTGTCAAAACAAAATCCACATCTTCTTCAGTGCTTGTGCCTTAAGGCAATCGTATCTCCACCTAATCTACTTGGAATTGAGTAATGATTTGGTTGCATCATCCAAGTTAATGCTATCTTCTATGTTTCTATTCCTTCCTTTGAAAATTTTACGTCCCTCATATTAATTACATTGATTTGACTTTATGAGTATTTGTTAACAACTGTTGCAAGTTTATGTTTAAGAATTTTTGTTTCATTCCTCTTTTTTTTCTCCAAGTTACTGAAAACACTTTTCTCTTTAACCCAATTTTTGAAGTCCACTTTATAAATGTTTTCAAATGTTGCAAATTTCCTTTGTTTATTCTACTTTTTAAACATGTAGCTTATGAGATAATTTCTTAAACAACATAAAACTTTCTCAATCTGTTGATAACTCTGGTGTTATTTTTAAAGATTTATGGTAATTTAATCATGTTTGTTTTTAGGCCTTTTGGAATCAAGGCATATCTCCTACAACAAGAAAAAATCGTAATTGTGTTTTAGTCTCATTAAGTTTTAAAGACTGTTCTAATAAAATGGTATAAACAATGTTTGGTTCATCAGTTAGAACTACACAAAATGCACATTCAAACCTCAACCCCTGTGTCACTCCCCAGGGGGCCTTAAAGGAACAAGCCAAATTTGGTGACAATTAGTCTAGTTATAAGTATACAAAATGCACAGGGAAGATACTGGCATCCACCCCCTGGAGGTGACGTAGGGGATCACATCCAAATGCCAACTCCCTCTACCACTCCCCAGGGAGTCTTAATGGAACATGTTAGGTTTGTTAACATTTGGTCCAGCAGTTTGCTATTTTTAAACGGACACACACTCTGACTTTTTTTGGATCATGATGGTCATTCTACACATTTGATGAAACATAGGGGTAAGGAGGTTTGGATCATGATGGTCATTCTACACATTCGATGAAACATAGGGGTAAGGAGATTTGGATCATGATGGTCATTCTACTCTCCTTACCCCTATGTTTCACCGAATGTGTAGAATGACCATCATGATCCAAACCTCCTTAACCCTATGTTTCATTGAAGGCCATAAGGATATATTATAAAATATTCTGTTAGTCCACAAATTACCAACTTGTTTTTATGCCATCCACTGCAAATGGGATCCATGTGTTGCATCATATCGAGTAATTTTATGTTTTTACTTGGCCTTAAGGTTCTATACTGTTCTTGAATTCATATACCATACATACCATAACTAAAATAATTAAGTTATTATCTTTATGCATACAAAAGCTTGACTGATATATTTATCAATTTAACTAGACAATAAAAACCAAAGTGCATATTTCTTGGCAGCCTTCCAAGCAACCTGACAGCTTTAACCCAGATAGTTATAAATAAAAAAAATCGAAACACCATGCATCCCTAGAGTTAGTCAAGGTTGACATTTCAGTCAAGTCAACGAGAATGTCACATGAAACACTAGGTAATGCTTCTGAGTTTCATATACACATTACACTGCTTTTTTGTTTTGGATAGTTGCATAAAGTTACACAATGGCTATCCATGCTAACTGTTCCTAATTTTGAACTTATAGACTAGATGGAAGATAAAGCAGCTGATGAGTATTATTCATATTAACAAACAAATGCAAAGTTTCAACTACACTACAGTGTCACACTCTTCTGAAGAAGACTTGTTGGCGAACGTTGAGAGAATAAAGATCCTGTTATAGCATTCTTAGTCTCATTGCTACCTTAGTATCCAGAAAGCAGCTAGTTAACACAT